CGAACTCACGGACCGCGAGATAGTGACCTGGCTGAAGTCGGACGCTTAACCGACTGCGCCACCCAGGCGCCCCAAGGCCTTGATTTTTAAAATAGATTTGTAGGAGACATTCCAAACTCCAGAAGGGGGAAAATATATACTGCAAAAGAATCAACTTCCCAAAGTAATTTACAAATGTATTACATTCTCAATCAAAATCCCCTCAAGATAGATTTACTTAATACTCAACAAAAATCATTTTAAAGCTCCTTTGGGGGGAAAAAAAAATCAATGAAACCATCAAGAAATATTCTACAAAGATGGATGAGTGGTATAATTACACCAAAACAAAATATCAAAAATTTAAAAAGCAGTAATTGAAGTGACACGCTGGCCCAGAAATCAGTGGAGCAGATTAGAGCCTAGAAATAGAATGAATTTCATGAAAATTTAATAGACTATATCCTCCACACTCATGACTCACACTTCCAAAAACTTTTGAATACTTCCAAATTTACAAATACCATGAAGACACTTGTAACAGTACACTGCAAAATGAACAGGGATAAGATAGTTCAGTTTCCATAAAGCCCAAAGTATTCCATTTAAAGGGTGGCTATAGTGTCTTTATATGAACTTTCATGTGCTAGATGATAAATATTTTGTTGGGTTTTTAAAAAAATTTTTTTTTTAACATTTATTCATTTTTGAGAGTTAGAGAGAGAGACAGAGCATGAGAGAGAGGGGCAGAGAGAGAGGGAGACACAGAATCCCAAGCAGGCTCCAGGCTCTGAGCCATCAGCACAGCGCCCAACACGGGGCTCGAACTCACGGGCTGCAAAATCATGACATGAGCTGAAGTCGGACGCTTAACCGACTGAGCTACCCAGGCGCCCCGATAAATATTTTGTTTTAAAGGCTACCACAAAATAAAAAATTCCCAATTCTTTATCAGTCCTGTCTCTTTTGTTTTGTTTTTGAGTATTAATGTTTAAAAATCATACTAATTTGGACACTAGTAAATACTATAGTATTACTGTCCCCTATAAAATGAAGCAAACTATAAAGGTAAATAATCCTTTGAAACCCTCAAATATAATAAAAGGATGAAAATCAATCACAAAGCTTTTTTTCTAGATAAAAACCATTTCTGTCCAGATTTTCTCCTTGCTCAAAGTTCACAACCAGTTTTCTAACTGGAGCCTTTTCCCACAAAGAAATAAACTTTTTCATCATTTCTTGAGATTTACTCTCATATCCCTAAATAAGTAACAAGAAAACAAAACAGACCTATAACAAATTGGAGACGCTAAGTTGTTCTAGGGATAAATTATTAAATTATTTGATTTGCTCTTTAGACAAGAAGAAATTTACTAATTTTTTAGTTCTGGATGGCCGCAGGCCATGGGAGGTAGATGTTAACTTGGGATCTTCTCTGTTATTTAGTTGTAGGGTGAGTTACTAAATTACTTAGCTAAATTACTCAGTCCTCCATACTGGCTTCACCTTAACAAAATTACATATCGCTACATACCACAAACCTTTGGTGTTTCCCTCACAAATAACATAGACTGGCAATGTTAAATCCAAAATCTTAAATCCATGAGTCTACTGGATGTGACAGGACAAGCAGCATGAAACAATGATGAATGGAAGAATAAAAGGTAGGACAAAAAAAAGGAGGGGGCATCTTATTTACCCTAACAAGGTCCAAATGGATTTGTTTAAAGATTTATACATTTAAATTGGAAAAGAACTATGCAGAAACAGAAAGTTACCATTCAGATCTAAGATCTAAGAAGTAAAGCAATAGCACTGGAAAACACCTACCAACCAATTAAATTACTACACCAGAAAACCTAAATTTAAAATGAATAAACTAGGAAAGGAATTTTTTTTATTAACTATGACAAATAATATTAAGAAACATATAAATTGTAAAAATATCAAGACTATAATAAATAAATGAGCTGAAGAGGCAAATATTTCATATTTGAGAAAACATCAAGTTCCAGTGTCCTTTCTTACATCTCAACTAAAACTAAATGACAGAGAAAATCCCAAGTTAACATTTGCCCCACCATCCAGAACTAAAATATTTGGAGAATTTCTTCTCTAAAGAGGAAAGCAACTAAGTTATAATCCCTAGAACAAATTTTTTAAAAATTAACTAACACTTAAAAAAATACCATCAGGCTTGCTAAACAACATATTTCAAACATACTGATGATTAATATTTTTGTGCTTTTTCTCCCACTTATAACATCTTTTTTAAGCCTTTTCTCACTTATACTTAGGGAAAATATTCACACAACATCCTCCAGAACCAAAATACTAGAGGAAAAAATTCAACACATTTTACCAGTTAATACACTAGGCACCAAAGGTTACGATCTCATTTAACATCTCATTTGAGTATGAACTTCCCACAAAAAGCAAGGTTTCTTGAGAGAAGATTCAGTGCCCCCAATACACTCAAAACTTGATCCTGTTACTTTGAAAGCATGTGGGAAAAGGTGACTTTTTGAGTTCAATACTCAAACTTCATAAACTCCTACACCATTCACATCACTCATTAAAGGACTGGTTCAAGATTTTTAATTTCCACTGGAAAAAACTAAACTTCAGAGAAAAGACTAGTGAAAAATTACATAATTTCAAGTTCAAGGTCACCTAAGCCATCCTTCTATCAGTTTGCTAACACCAGTTTTATTAGAAAATATTATTTATGAGTATTTAATAATTTATGGCCTGAAGGCTCATGGGGCTCCATCTTGTGGTTTAAAGGGTTCATAATAAATCTGAACTCATTGGCTTTGCTTAAATAGTGGAGTGCCATCTTTGTCTGATGCACGAGAGCCAAAATGTAACACCATTGTTTTTTACTTGCCCTCGTTATTAACATTTCCGATTTTAAACTAATTGGAATTTATTAGAACTAAATTAAGGAAACATGAGTAATACCTACCATGGTTTCCTATAGTGTTTTAGCTTCTTTTTCCAGTCCTTTCCCCACTTTCTTGTCGTCTTCACTAGACACTGTTTTGTGTGACAGTACCTCCTCATAAGCCTGAGTCCCCTGACAGCTCAGAGACAATATGGCAAAGGTGTTTGAAGATTTATTCTCTGGAATACACCTGCAAGACAAAAAGCAAAACAATTTTTCAAAAATGCTTATTTACAAGCAGTTTCATATCTGAATGTGGAGCTTATAAACATGCGTATTGACTAAAAAGAAATAATCTTTATAGAGGAAAATGACCTCATTTCAAACAAAAGCTAAATGTATCTTCTGAAGGCCTGGGGCCTAGAGCCTAAGTGATATGGCCAAAAAAGTAACCCCCCTGGTAGCCACAGTGTGGCAGCTGGCTGACTCATACTCAGTGAGATAAATACATTAACAGACACAGATTCAGTAAAGAAGTGTTACCTGAAGGGTGGCTCAGTCGGTTGAGTGTCCGACTCAGCTCAGGTCATGATCTCAGGGTTCATGAAATTGAGCCCCGGGTTGGGCTCTGTGCTGACAGCACAGAACCTGCTTGGGATTTTCTCTCCCACTCTCTCTGCCTGGCCCAGGCTCGCTCTCTTTCTCTCTCTCAAAGTAAGTAAACTTAAAAAAAAAAATTTTAAATAATAATAAAATTAAAAATTTTTTAGAATAAAAAATAAAGAAGTACTACCTGAAAAAGTACTACCACTACTGGTGGCAACAATGTTGCAATTGATCATAAGACTTTCAATTAGAGATTGGCATTAGCCACAGGGCGCCTGGGTGGCTCAGTCAGTTGAGCGCCCGACTTCAGC